TACTTTTATAAAAATAATTAATATTATTGAAATTAAAACATAATAGTATATAATTTTATTCTATTGAGCACATAATTTAAAGCGAATCAATATCAAATCAAATCAAATAATTAAATGGGTTCAAAATATTAATAACCTAATTCTAGTACTTTTGACAAATAATATCAATAGTGTTAAACTTAAAATTACCGATAATCAGAAAAATAAGAATAAGCATAAATTCAATATTATATTTATGAAGACTTACAAAACATAATAAATTTAATATACTAAAGAAATGCTGTCCTTGAGTATTTTAAAGATGATCCTACTCATGAAATAAACCGCAATTTAATGAAAATGTGCTTTCAAAAATGATTTCATCAATTTAAACTGTAGATTCTTAAGTTGATTAAATAAGAAATAGCAAATAATATAGAATTCCTAGTCACTATGAAATTGAACAAAAAGCAAAGTATATTAAATAGATTATTTTAGAAATTATTAAATAATGACTTAAGGAAAATTAAAAGAAAACTTTCCTATACAGAACCAATATAATAATTAAATACCAAAACAAGATAATTTAAATAATAATATATAAAAGACTAATACAATAAATATTGCTCAAACGTAGAATAAAATTTATGGCTAAGAAATGTAACAACCTTTAGTCTAATCTAATGTAGATTAACCACTAATTATTAATGATTAATAATATAAAGGAATTAATATGAAAGAAAAATTAATAGAATTTATAAATTGCTTAAAATATTTTTAAGTTGATATCACTAAATTTTAGTAATCATCTAAAAATAATACAACTGAATAACATTTCCATATAAAATATTTATTCTATGATTTATATCCTAAAGTAGATTTTTAAATATGGGCATACAATTTTTAAAGGTAGGATTTATTGTAATAACTTATAAATTTACATTATTATTTTCATTTGTTTGTAGAATATTAAAGATTAATCGAAAATAATTAGAGATCTAGTTTCTAATCAACATAGATATAATTATTCATAAATCTAATGAATATTTAAATCTAATAAGATAAATTTTTGATCAATAAAATACTTGAATTTTTGTTTTTGTGTAAAGATAGAGTTGAAATTTAAAATTATCTAAATTACATAATGCATATGACTGATCCTTTTTAAACAACTTACTAGGCAGATCCAAAATAAAATTAAGAATAAGATCATATATATTATTTGTATGGATTGTATTCCCATTTTAGTGTGAGTAATAAATGAGCCAAAAGAGTATATGAAAAATATTAAAATATGATTTAAAATAATCTTAGCAAATAAAAAATAAAAATAAATATTTAATAAATTTTTGATTAAATTTCAACAACATCCTTTATTTTCTTAGTTTTATTTCTTAGTGTCTTTAAAATATTAAAAGTTATTAGCATTCTTTAATTTCTGATGCTGATACTTTGATTCGAATACCTATAATTGAATGTAATTGTTACTCTATCCCAAAGATTTATACATTTCATTAATACAATTCCGAATTTAGCTGAAATAATTAAATTAATAGCTCCAATCTCTTTACACTATACCTCAACTTCATTTTATCAATCTACATCATGTTTTTTTTTATTACCTTCCCAAATGATCATACTTTCACTTCCCATTTATCA